CACGATGACCCTTCACTTGATTTTGAATGACCTGGTAACACATTTTCATCTTCCCTTTCAATCCCTTTCAATGAGCAGTATTACTAGAATCCCGGCAGTGTGTCAAAAAAAAAAAAAAAAAAAAGAGAGAGAGAGAGAGAGAGAGAGAAGGGGCCTTCCCAGTCACCTAGCTTAGCAGTTTTCAAACTGGGGTCCTAGGAATCCCCTCCGGGCCTGGGGAGGGCATGTGCGGTGAAGGAAGGGGCCAGAGAGAGCAGAATGGCTTCTCTCAGGCTCACTTCTTTACCGGAGCAGTTCCCTCTCATCTGTTTGACAAACTGGGCTTCCAAGCAGGATTTTATTTGAAGAAAGGGGTTCTGGGGCTAATAACCAAAGTGGGGTAACCTCTCACTTTTCTTTGCTGAGGCAAGGGAGTATCATGGTTAAGAGTCTGAGGCCTGGGGTCAGGCCGGTGGGGTTGGGTCTTGGCTCTGCAACTTGTGACTTCTGGGACTTTCTGGCTTTCAGTTTCCTCTTCTGTAAAATGGGGCAGCAGTGATTCCTACTTCAGTAAGGCTTTTGTGAAGACTAGAGAGTGATATCTGTAGTAAAGCTCTCAGCAGTCACGCACTCCTATTTTAAATTTCTAAATTCAAAAAATGGCAAAAGGGACCCATGTGCCTAAAAAAATTCAAAGAAATACTACAAAAGTATCCAAAAACTGTCTAGAAGATTAACAGCCTTATTCCCAAGAGGAACTACAGTTAAAACAGCTTCATATATATTCTTCCAGATTGTGCTCCATGCATTTGCTACTTATAATATTTATGTTTAGAAATATTTTTTACAAACATGGAATTGCACTGTCTACCCTGCTTTGCAATTGGCTTTTTTTACTTGGTTGTATGTCGTGGGTGAGTTTCATCCACCAGGACCCAGAGCCTGACCACAATCTTCCTAATGGCCGTCTAATGTTCCATCTCAGGAATGTTCTGCCAGTTTTATTTATTTATTTATTTTTAATGATTTTTTTTTGGCGGGGCGAGAGAGTGTGCAAAAGCAAGGTGGTGGAAGGGACACAGGGAGATGGAGAGAGAGAATCTTAAGGAGGCTCCACGCCCATTGCAGAGCCCGACATGGTGCTGGATCTCACAACCCTGAGATCATGACCTGAGCCGAAATCAAGAGTCAGCCGCTCAATGAACTGAGCCACCAGGTGCCCCTGTTCTGCCATTTTCAACCAAACCCCCAACTGAAGGACATTTAGGTTGTTCACAAGTGGTTGGTATCGAAAACAGTGCTGAATTTATATACTTATACACATGTCTTTGCATTCTTGTGCAGATATTGCTGCATCATACGTTCATAGAATTGGAATCGCTAAGTCAAAGGGTTTTCCCATTTAACATTTTTTTTTTAAGTAGGCACCACACTCGGGTGGAGCTGGATGCCAGGCTTGAACTCACAACCCCGAGATCAAGACCTGACCTGAGGTCAAGAGTCGGATGCTTACCTGACTGAGCCACCCAGGTGCCCCCCCAACACTTAGCATTTTTATAGATACTGTGCAATTACCCTCCCAAAAGATTACACCAATTTATACTTCCATCAGTAAAGTAGGATAGGGCCTCCCTCCGCACACCCTGCCTAAACTGGGAAGAATGTTCATTCTGACCCCTGCCTTCTGACAGATGAGAAATATTTTGGGTTCTCTGATTGCAGCGCTGTGTGATGTCCGTGTTTCCTGGCCACGGACAGTGGTTTCTTCTGTAAACTGCCTGGCTGTGTCTTTTGGTTTTAAATGACGAGGCTGAAGTCCAGAGAGGTTGGCAGTTCCTCCAAGTTGATAAAATTGAGTTCTCGCCGCTGTTGCTCCTGCCGTCTGTCGAGTTGGTAGCTCAGTCTCTGTTCATTTCTCTTCTGATAAAACAGCACCTGGACTCCCCTAGACACAGAGGCTGAGTGAAACAGTCAAAGGCTTCTAGGAGAAACCTGGCCAGGGAGTGAGTGAAGGAAGGGCAGGAAACCAAGGGCGAGATTTTGCGGGGGTCCCTGCCTCGGCCTGACCCTGTGGCAGCCCTCAGGTGCAAATCGCACCCCCCAGTTTGTCCTGCCTGACCTCCTCCCCTCACAGGTTGGTCACTGGCCACAGGCTGCCCTGGGAAGGGGCGCAGGGACAGCTCTCCCCTGGGACAGGAAGCGCTCCAGAAGCCCAAGTGGGAGCCCTAGAACACACAGCATCTGCGACAGAGGCACCCTGGCAACCTGTGGAGGGCCCTGGGAGGGACAAGTGTCCTCTAATGTACCCCCCCAGTCCTGCTTTCCTCCGGGGACCCACTGCCCCCCCACCCTCAGCCCAGCCCTTTAGTTTCGGGTGGGGCCTCAGAAGGGAGTCCTGCCTGGCTTCAGCAATTAGCATATACTATGCCCCGCCCCCTCCGCCAAAATGATTGATTTAGGATTGGGCCCAGGATCTGTTTGGGGAGAGAAGACCAGGCTCATTTCCTTTATTTCCTTGCTGCATCGGATTCCAGGTGTGAGCATCCCTCCCGCCAGTGAACCTAGTCTTTACTACGGTGATCGGTGATCGGTGATCGGTGATCGGCGATGCCCGAAGTGGGTGAACACCTGGGAGAGGAATCGCTGGATCACGGGGAATGTAAACATTCCACCTGACAACACAATGCTATGTTGTTCTCCAAGGTGCCCCTAACAATTTACACCCACCGACTGTGGGTGAGCATTCCTGTTGTCCCAAATCTTCGCCAAAGCACGGTAGATTTCTGTGTTTGCCAATTTAGTGGGTGTAAGAAGAGAGTGTCCTCTGGTCTTCATTTGCATCTCTCTGATTCATGTGTTTATTCACCACTCATGTTTTCCAAGCAGTTATTTCTCCTGATTTCTCTCCCACTGCCATTTCTTAAGTGGAAGTTAGCTACCTGCTCTCGTTTAAGCTCTTCCTTCTGCCTGGAAACCTTCCAGAATACGTGGGGATGGCACCTCCTCCAGGAAGCCTTCTCTCATTCCCCTGTAAGGGACAATGCCGCCTCCTCAGCCACCCTTCACACTCTGGTCCTCCCAGGGAGCCAAATTTCCCAGCATCAGGCACTGCAAGACCACTGGGGAACCAAGTCCTCACCGTCTTTTCTCTCTCTCCTTCCCACCCCTGCCTTGTGGACCAGGAAGAGGCGTCTCACAGAATAGGTTCAAAATGGGTTCTTTTCTCCTGTCTCCCACTTGGGGTTTGTGCCATGCCAGTGGTAAGAAGACAGGGAACAAGTATGGATTAAGCTATCAGTAGGAATCCATGGCCCCCCACCACCCTGACAGTGACCTGCCAGGGAAATCCTCAGCTGGGGCTTTTCAGCACTTCCACAAGAAAGGACAAAGCGGCAGTCTGGGCTGGTTGTAAGGAAGGATGGAAATGCACATCCCATCGGTTTGTCCCGGGAACATCCCAGTAGGAGGACTAGCTCAGCTTTCATGCCTGCTTCTCTCCACCTCAACCCTCGCCCACCAAAGGCCGTAGGAGTGGGCGATCGTTTAGCTCTGACTCAGCGCAGCTGTTTATCTGCCCGTGAAAAACCAGGAGTTAGGAAAAGGCAGAGAATGCTGTCCTTCTGCCAATTAAAGACAATTGCACCAGAAGGCACAGCAGTCCCTGGGGGCCTGCAGGGTTACCCACTTCCTTGTTCCAGAGGTTTCAATGGAACCCAACGCCCGGGAATAATGCATGCTCATTTGCAAACCTCAGACGGAACCAAGAGTTTCGTTTTGTTCCCCCCATGAGCTACAAAGCAAGAACAGAGTTCTTGGCATGGCTCCCAAAGGGACCAGCATGAACCAGAGCATAGTGTGTTACCTCCAGCGTGCTCGTCAGCACTCGTCTCCCTTTGCCCTGACTGTGTCCCCATCATGGGACGGCGGAGGGAAAGGCAGGGCTCAGCTGCCTCGCCAGTAACAGAAGACTAAAATGAAGTCCCCTTACTTGCCACTTCGTCACTGATCTACAAGTCCCTAGACCTTGAAGATGTTGATGAAATGGTGATCTCCAATGAGATCTCAGAGGCAGCAGGGTGGGGAGGTGGGGGGTGCTGAGGACCTACCAGGGACTTCAGGCAGATTATCCAATCGAGTGGTGTCTGTCATTTGTCAAGTGGAGAGGTAGATAGACACCCAGCCTCTGCATTTTACAGTTTTCTTCTGCAGATCAAAATGAGACAGGCTTAAAGCACTCTGTGGTATGGGGTGATTCCCAGTTTAGGGGTTTCTGGGATCTTAAAAATGAAGACACAAAGAAAAAATATTTTGGGGACTGCCTTAAGGCTGCCAGTTTTTTGCATCATCCATTAAGGTGATTAAAAATCAAATTACTACCTATCACGGCTATCGGTATAGTCTGGGAGAAAAGGCTATTTTTAAACAACCCCACTCCCAGAAAAGCCCCAACTGTAGGATATAGTCTGATGCCATAATGACATAGATAAATAACTATGCACAGTGCAGGTCATGTTGCCCTTAACTGGGAATCCCAGTGAGCCCTCATCAGGGACAAGTCTTTGGGAATCCTTTGGATTGGGAACAAGCTACAGGCAGGAAGAACTAGACCGGAGTCCTAGCCCACTGTGCTCCCCTCCATGAAAGGGATTCTCTGTAGCCCCTGGCATTCCACACCTGGGGGCTGCCTGCAAGAGCCGAGTGGAGTTCTGGGCACATGCTACATCCAGAGTGGGGGTCTGGGCCCTTCTCACTCCCAGCTGATGGAGAGGGAAGGGAAGTGTGGAAACTGTGGCCTCATTGCCTCCTTCCTGGGGAGAGCTTGGAATGTGTCCTCTTCTCTCATGGGCACTGGGCCCCCTCAACCTGGCACTGTCTCCTTCCCTGAATCCCTTCCTTCCCTCCTGCTCTTTAAGAGGAACATCAACCAGCTAGGGAGTCCTCAGAGAGGGAACCAGACATGCCCCCCCCCCCCCGTCTTTTTTTTTTTTTTTAGATTTATTTTTTTATTTGAGAGAGGGAGAGAGAAACAGAGTGGGGAGGAGCAGATGGAGCAGGAAAGAGAAACCCAAGTAGACTCCATGCTGAGAGCGGAGCATGATGCAGGGCTCGATCTCACGACCCTGAGATCACGACTGAGCCAAAACCAGGAGTTGGATGCTTAACCAACTGTGTCACCCAGGCGCCCCTAATGTTATTTTTTAAATGATGAGCTTAACCAGACCAGGAGTCGCAATTCCAAATGCCCACAGGGTCCGGGTGGGAACTTCATGGGTGCAGATGGCTGGATGGAAGAGAAGTACGTGACTGTCTCTGTTGACCTTTTGTTCTGCTTTTATTAGAGACCTGGAAACCAAGAAATATTCTTCCATAAGACAACAGATGTGTGAGAGCATTGATAAACGCCCACCCACAGTCTCGGTGAGGGGACACAGCTGGGAGGATGGAAAGCTGCACCCTATCTGTTGGGGGAGCCCTGACTCCACTCCCACCCAGTGAGCGGCTGTCCATCAGGAGTTTCCATCACTTGATGAATGGATCAACAAAGTGTGGTATACCTGTTACTGGACCCCCAGGACCAGGTTCTTGAGTCTCAATGCCATCGGAATGAACATTGAACTTGAGAGAAAGAAAGCAGGCAGAGTTTATCAGAGATAACTTATATACAAGGGAGGGAGCCAACAAGAAAAACGAACGTCGCTCTCCAAAGGGGTAGCATGTAAGACTTCTAAAGGCACTTTTCTTTTCTTTTTTTTTTAATTAATTTATTTGACAGAGAGAGAGAGCCAGAGGGCACAAGTTGGGGGGGGGGGAATGGCAGAGGGAAAGGGAGAAGCAGGCTCCCCACTGAGCAGGGAGCCCGATGCGGGCTCCATCCCAGGACTCTGGGATCAGGACCTGAGCCGAAGGCAGATGCTTAATGACTGAGCCACCCAGGTGCCCCTAAAGGCACTTTTCTAAAGAGTGAGGGGCCGGGAGTGGGGAAGTATCATTCAGTCCCCCGGTCATTATCTTTTGGTCCTTACTTTTTAGTGGACACAAGACAAGCAAAGAATGCCCTTCTTCCTGGTCAACATTTTTAGGGCTCCGGAAAAATAGAAATACTTGTGTGAGCGGGCTTTAAATTGTTCTTTCTAATTTTGCTCAGGCAACCATTATTCCCCGATGGCTGTTATCTCTCACTAGTTCGCTTTCCCGGAAGGAGGTATCTGTCTCTAGGCTTCTGGAAACTTTTAACCCCTGCCTCAAACCAGTGGCTTTATAGGAGTTAAGTCCCTCCTGCTTCCCCCTACACTGTCTCGTACCCATGAGATGGAATGTTATCCAACCATTAAAAGGAATAAAGTCCTTGTACATGCTACAACACTGACGAGCCTTGAAAACACCATGCTCAGTGAAAGAAGTCCTACAGCCCATATATCGTATGATTCCATTTATATGAAATGTCCAGATAGACAAATCCACAGAGACAGAAGGTAGATTGATGGTGTGGGACTGGGGTGGGGGAATGAGGCATGACTGCTAGTATGTATAGATTTTGTTTTGGGGTGATCAAAATGTTTTGGGGTGATAAAAAGTAAATGGTGCACAACTCTGTGAACATCCTACGAACCAGTGAATCGTACACTATAAATGGGTGAATTGTTTGGTGTGTGAATTACATCTCAGTGACGCTGTTATAAAGAAAGAGTATATACCCAGATTACTAGGTATTTTGATTTTTCAAGAGAAGCACTGTCCCAGGATTAGGTTGGCTATCTATAATAGAAAACCCACAATTACAGTGGCTTATATAAGAAAGTTTTTGTTTTGCTTGGCTTTTCGTTTTTACTCATGAACAAAAAGTCAGGAGGCGGGTAGCTTAGGGCACTTTTCCTAGCTTCTGAGAGTCACGAAGGAGACTCAGGCCCTTTCTCTCTTCCTCCAGCACTATTCCAGCATGTGGTTTCTATTCTCAAGGTCAATTCATAGTTCAAGATGGCTGCGGGCGTCCCAGCCACTCATCCTTCTTCCAGACAGCAGGGAGAAAGGAGGGAAGTACAAAAGGGGCCCACCACTTCCATCTTATTGGTTAAAACTAAGTCACATGAAAAAAAAACAGTCACATGATCTTACTTTGCCACAAGGGAAGTTGGGAAATGTAGTCTTTCATCTGGGCACATTGCTGCCCTGCCTAAAATCAGGATCTATAACCAAAGAAATAGGGAAAACAGATACTGGGTAGGTAACCATTAGTGTCTGCCGCCATTTTTAAGTGAAATCCTAATTTTTCAATGGTGACTCATTTTCTAAAAAAAAACAAAAACAAAAACCACCTGACAGAAACAAACTGAACATACCTGTGGGTTAGACCCACGGCTGGTGGCTGCACCCTCATTGGGAATCCTAGCGGGAAATCTTGTCCAAGGCAGCTTTTTAGGTGTTTTTGGCTTCAAAACAGCATTAGCTACAATAAGGACAGTGCTGAGTCACGGGGAGGCAGTGAAGAGAGAGAACATACAAATGCTTTGCAAACCTGGGGAGCACCAACCACACGGAGGGGGTCCCCATCGGGCTCTACCACCTCAGAGCTTCAGACAAAAGCTCTGGGTCCTGCACGAAGCCTCCCCACATCAGGCTGTTGGGCAAATGCTCCTGGAGAAGAGGCAACCTGAGTCATGGCACATTTCCTGTTGCGTTCCGTGTTTACATTTTCTTTGAACATAAAGCAAATGAGTTATAACTGTGGGACACAATTTGGACATGAAGGAACAAGGACAAAAGCCAGTAATTAGTCACTGCAGCCATGACCGTGCCACCTCCTTACCTTGACTTTGGTTCTGCAGGAGCTATTTGTGCCATTAAGGACATTTCCAGGGAAGGCTTGGATAACAAGCCTTGGGCAGAAAACTGCATTTTCTGGTAGGCAGGAGACCCACAGAGCTTTACCACCATCTGCTCTGCGGGCAGATCTGAGCTGGGTGAAGGAAACGCACCACCGTGAAAGGTGGCAGGTGGTGTCCCCGCAATGCTTGCCCTCTGCCATCGATGCCTGGTGCCAGACACGTGGACAGGAAAGCTCAGGTGTGCACCCAGAGGAGGGGGAAGAGGGCGGGGGCCCTGGGCCCTGTGACAGGCCCTCAAGGTCAGGGCCGGCACTGCCGTGGACGTTCTCATTTCTCAAAGATGTGGCTGTCGCAAAGCTTCCTTTGGAGAGCCATCTTCCTTCCCAACAGCTCAGAGCTCCAAGAGAGGACATGGACGCCAGAAACGGACTCTTAGGGGATTTATCTCTGTATTTATTTACTTATTATTTGTTTCCTCTGCCTTATCCTCGGTTTATTTTTTTTTTAAAGATTTTGTTTATTTATTTGAGAGAGAGAGAGTGAGAGAGAGAGAGAGAGCCCAAGAGAGGGTAGGGTCAGAGGGAGAAGCAGGCGAGCCCAATGTCCAGGACTCGATCCCTGGACTCTGGGATCATGACCTGAGCCGAAAGCAGTTGCTTAACCAACTGAGCCACCCAGGCACCTGCCTTATCCTCTGTTTAAGTGGTAGATTGGAAACAGTGCAAAAGATTGATGCCAAAAATTGGCCGTAATTCTCCACCCTCCCCATATCCACGTCCTTCAATGGTGACTTTGCAATTCCTCCCATTAAAGGATGGAATCCACCTACCTTCTGACTCAGTTTGTCTTATAGACGCAGGGTATTAATTCCCAGCTTGTCCTCTAGAGGCCTCGCAGCGTCCCCTGGCTCTGGGACCCCTGAGACAGCCACGAGGTCATCCCCAGGCTAGGGGATGGGGGAGGACTCTCATGGAGGAATCAGGCCCGATGTGTGTGAGCCCAGCCCGCACCAGCAGCCTAGGTCCATTTGGAAGGAGAAACACGGAGAATGAGTTAAATCCCAAGAAAGGGAGCTTCGGTGGAATTCGAAGCCTTGTGGCAACTGAATAAGGAGATAATTTAGGGGCAAGGGGCTCCTCTCTGCCTCCAACCCCCAAATTCCCCATTGTTGTGCTGGCTCGTCTCTGCTCTGCTTCACAAACCCGAGGCTGTCTGGGTCCAGCCGGAGGTTTCCCAGCCAGGAGTGATGCTCAAACACTTAATAACTGGTGTGGCGCAAGCCTTGATCGATCAGAATGGATTCCCACTGGGCCCTTCTTGAGCACTTGCTGTATGCCAAGCCCTGTTCAACATGCTGCTCGTATACCAGTGAACAAAAGTCCAAATCCTTGCCACGCTCTAGTGGGAAGGAGCAGACAAAAAGCAGCTAAGTAAATAGAATAGCTGCTGTGGCAGATGGCGGTGAGAGCTAGCGAGGAAGGCAAAGCTGGGGAAGGGGACAGTGAGTACTGGGATGATGGTGGTTGCACCTTGAAAAGTTCACAGAGAAGGTGACATTTAAGCTAAGAGATGGAGAGAGCAGAGCCACCAGATAGCTAGAGGAACAATGTTCTGAGCAGAGGGAACCACAAGTGCAAAGGCCCTGCGGCAGGAGTGTGCCAGGCTTGTTGGAAAAACAGCAAGGAGGCCAGTGTGGCTAAGGTAGAGCGAGGGAGAGGGATAGTGGGAGGAGGTGGAGGGGTGGCAGGAAACTGGTCCAGGCAGGGTCTTTTAGACCAGGCAGGGAACTTCGCTTTACTCCAGAGGACCCTGGACCTCACTGGGGTGGGGGCTCTGAACTCCATGAGGAGGGGCATGATCTGATCCCCCTGGCTGCCATATGCAGTGTGGCCTGTGGGGGCAAAGGAGGAAGCAGGGAAACCAGTGATGGTCCAGGGAGGGATGGTGGTGGCTTGCACCAGGGTGGGGAGGGGGAGGCATGCCCAGATTCTGAGTCTGCGTTAAAGATAGAGCCAAGAATATTTGGGTGACCTGTTTGAGGTCCTGTGATCCTCACAACAGCCCCATAGGAAGGCACATTTATCAGATGGGGAAACAGGCTCAGAGAGGTGACATGGCTTGCCCAAGGCTTACTAACGACAGAGAGTGGCAGAGCGGGACCTGAGCGGGACCCCCAGTGTCCTGCTCATCACAGTGGAGCCAAGTAGCCTGTTCTAGTGAATCAGGGAGGCTCTGAGAAGGTGAAGTTCACACTGAGAGCTGAAGGACCCGGAGGCATGGGCTAGGCTGCTCACTGTCCCTGACCCTCTAGAGATCACAATCTTCTAGAAATTCCCAGGCCCCAGCTCTTTCCACATGGTTTAGCCTGACGTGGGGTCAAAGCATGACAAACATTTCCACGGTGAAAACGGAAGCAGGTGTCTCTGCTCAAGGGCTGAGGAGGGGGGGCCCGGGGGAGGTGGCAGGATCGGGAGGGGTCTGTCTTTGCCGTCACAGTCCCTGAAAGTTGAGTCAGCTACGACACAAGTCTGGACCTTCCTCCCCTGGGGTTAAGCCCGGGAGGGTCCCGCAGGGTGTGTAGGAGCCTGCCAGCCAGTCAGCGCTGTGTCCATCTGCAGTCATGCTCCACTGCAGTCCATCCTGCCCGCTTCCCGAGGGGTTGTACCGGTCCCACGGGAGGGTTCTAATCAGATCTGCAGTTTGGCAAGCAGGTGCCTTTGCTTTATTTTTCAGCCCCCTGCACACGCCTTGTCTGCTCTGCCCCCCCCCCCCCCCCGCCCCGCCGAGGTCACCCTCCGTAGACTGCGATCAGCCCTTTGTGGGCGGATTCCCCTGCACGTGGCTCATGGTCATCAGGGTGCTTCATAAACGTGGCCCTTCTCTTTTTGCCTCTGTGCCCCCCCCCCCCGAGAGATGCCACTCTCTCTTGCAGTTTCAGTCGGGGGCTGGCGTTGATGCCTCCAGATCTGCCCCTCCACCTGCAGCCCTCCCTTGGCTGCTCAGCCCATCACTGGCCCATGATGTGACCTCTCTCCTTAATGTCCTCGCAAAGACGTCCTCTTCTCTCCGCCCCACAGCCACTAGCTCAGGCCAGACCCAGAGGGGTCTCCCCCGCCTCCTCCCCCAAATCCTGAGGACAAGGTCAAGTGTGAGTTCTCCAGAGTGCAGCCATAGGGGACCTTCAAAGTCCAGATCTGCCCGTGGTTCTCCTCTGCCAAGAGCCCTGCTGTTGGCACCTTGGGAAAGTGCTGACCGGTCTCAGCACTGTGAAGAGACAACCACAAACCATGCACCCCAGCCGGGACCCGGGGCTGTGCCCAGCACCATCTCGGAAGTAGTCTTGCAAAAGTGAAAAACGGGAGGGGAAAAAAGAAAAAAGTAGATCTGGATTTAGTCAGATTCTGGAGCTCCCAGCGTAGAGAGAGCACAAGGACAGACAGGAGGACGTGTGAAATGCTTGGCCAGACGCAGGTCAAACCACCTGGCTTCTCCAGCAGAGTGAGGCAGAGAGAGAGGAGAGAGAACCGACGACCACAGTGGCTTCCGAGTCGGGCTGACCAAGCACAACTCGCAAACCTGTTCGGATCCTGAATTGGCCTGAATGGAACAAACCAGCCGGAAAACATTCATTTATGAGGTGATCCCAGACATTTAAATGCTGGCTGGAAACTTGGCAATATTAAGGGATTACTGGGATCCTTTTAGATGTGATGATGGTTTGGGGTACTGACCGTTTGCAGGTAACTGTTGAAACTCAGTGAAGGCCACACGGACATTCATTATACTACTCTTTTTATTTTTGTGCATGTACAATTTTCCTTAATAAAAAGTAAAAAAAGAAAAAAGGCATCCTGGCCACACACACACACCCCCATACTCTTCATCTCGGCACTGGGGTCTCTAAGGCAAATCCCACCTCATGGTCTGTGCTCCCCACCCCCAACTTCCTCCTTCCCAATTTCACTGACCGACTTTAGGGCAGGTCCCCCAACTGCCTGTACTTTCTCTCTCTTCCCTTTTTTTTTAAAAAACATATCTTAATTTTTTTTTTTTAAGATTTTATTTATTGGGCGCCTGGGTGGCTCAGTCGTTAAGCGTCTGCCGTCGGCTCAGGTCATGATCCCAGGGTCCTGGGATCGAGTCCCACATCGGGCTCCCTGCTCGGCAGGAAGCTTGCTTCTCCCTCTCCCACTCCCCCTGCTTGTATTCCTGCTCTCGCAATCTCTCGCTCTGTCAAATAAATAAATAAAATCTTAAAAAAAAAAAGATTTTATTTATTTGCGAGAGAGAGAATGAGAGACAGAGAGCATGAGAGGGAGGAGGGTCAGATCCCGGGACTCCAGGATCATGACCTGAGCCGAAGGCAGTCGCTTAACCAACTGAGCCACCCAGGCGCCCCCCTTTTTTTTATATATATTTTTCTGATAGGTGACATTCCCATGGTCAAGAACACTGTGCCACACGGCAACGGCTTGCCCTCGCTTGCCTGGCGCCATGCATATAGGCAATCACAGTTTCAGTTTCCCGTTTCTCCTTCCAGAACTTTTATGCATATACAGTAAGCAGAAACAGACACTCACTCCCCATCTGCTTTTTTACACGAAAAGTAGCAACAATAACATGCTGCTCTGTGCTTCGTCTTTTCACTTACCCCATTCTGGAGAGGCTTTCTGATCAGTACACTGTGACATCTTCATTCTTCAACACAGCCCCATGACATCCCATTGTGTGACGCACCCTACTTAGCCTGTGTGCTGTTGAGGGACAGGTGGGTTATAGCCAATCTCCTGCTTTTGTTCATAGCCCCGCATCGAACAAGCACATGTGTACATCAGTTCCAGTGTTTTCTCCTGCCCCATGCCCCCTCTCCCCCTTTCTCTTGCCCCATGCCCCCTCGGCCACAAATATCTTCCCCCACCCACCTCCTGAAGTTACACGCCTTTCAACATTTTTCCCTAATCCATTCAACTGGAGATTAATTTCTCTTTCTTCCGTACTTGCCCAGTATCCAAATGTACCAGTCAGGAAGGCCTGCAGCTGCCAAGAACAGGACACACATCCAACGGTTGCCTTACAAAATATCTGGAGGTTATTTTTCCCACACCTTGAGAAGTTGGGAGGTGGGCAGCTACTCCATGGGTCATTAAAGATCCAGGCAAATCTTTTCTTCTTTCTCATGCATCATCCCTGTCGTGGTGCCTATTAGTCTTCAAGTTATCTCTCGGTTGCAAGATTGCTGCGCCTTCAGCCTTCATGCCCCCTTCCAAGCCAGGAGGCTAGGATGGCCACAGTAAGTCTTTCCCAGAAGCCCTCGGGCACATTTCCATCCTGCAGAACTGGGTCACGTGCCCACCTCCAGACAGAGGCCACCTTCTCTGAAATCCAGATATTTCTACTCCATCCCTAAATAAGATCAGGGTTCTATGAGTAGGAAGGGAAGAATGCTGGGGAGGTAACCATAGTGCCTGCCACACTTAGTAGGCACCTCTCTTTAGACAAGATCATTTTCCTCCTTTAGTCTGGTTTTATCTCTCTCACTAGACAGTGGGCTCGCTGAAGGAGAATTCATTGCCAAGCCCCTTCATATCCTCTGCAGCGGTGAGCACAACACCTGAGTGCAGTAAGGGCTCAGTCACCATCCGTGGCTGGGTCAAGAACCTCCCTGACTCAAGAACATTCCACTTTCTTATGCTCTTCCCTCACACTCTCCTCCAGACCCATAGGATTTTATCACTCTTCTCCTGTGTGTATTTGGGTTAACCTGGGTCGTGAAGAATGAGTCACCCTGTCTGACAAACTTGGAGAAAAGGAAATTTTGCCTGCATAGGGCTGACAGTATCATAAGCATTCTGCCTGAGGATGGGAGAGGCCAGGCTGTTTATTGCTTCTGGGAGGAATGGAGTCACCAATCTGCGTGTGCGTGAGTCACTTCTTGTGGGCTGATCCAGGCTGAGGACAAGCCCATGCCCTGTCCCCACAAGAGCGCTGTGAGCTGGTGGCCAAGTCACGGCCTGAGCCTCCAAAGCCAAGCTGGTTTCCAAGTCTTTACCACATCAAATAGCGCTTTTCCCCTGTGAGGTGGTCAGTGAGGCAGCCCAGACTCAGTGTCTGTGTCTGAGCTGCCAATAACAGGGTCCATAGAACGATGAAAGGAAGATATGGATGGGACCCACACTGGGCTGTGGCTCATTTCCTCTCTGGCTGCAATTCTCTTAACTCCTTAGGTTCTGTCCCCCATGCTGCCCTCCTTCGTTCATAGGATTCAGGAGATGTGGGCACTGTGGTGAAGACACATCTGGGGGAGTGAAGTATCAGCTTACATGCCACATTATGGGATGCCAAAATTCATAAATTAAACATAAAATACGATAAGCACTGAAACCAAACTGGAGGTAATTTTATTTTTTCTTGGTATTGCAGAGGGCACATCTGGAGGTTTTTTTGTGTGTGGGGGGGTTGGTCCTGAGGCTCATCATGATGAGTCCCCAGCAGCCAGGGCGGCACAAGCTTCCGGGGGCTCTGGTAATTGGAGAGTGGAGACCTGAAGTGTGGATAACCAGGGGTTAGGTTAAGCAGCTGGTCTACTCTCTTTTAAAAATTAGCCAGGTGTTTCTAAATGCCACGCTGGTTTGGTGCAGCTTTATGCAGTGCTCAATATACATAAAACATGCCTGGAAAAGAAGATGTATCTTGCGGACATTCAATCATGCTTAAGGTAGAAGCCTTGCCATTTTGGTCTTGTCCAAAGTGCCTCTGTCCCCCTGCTGGCCAGATGTGCTAATTGCAAGCAAAATGCTAGGATTTCTTGTAAAGCCATAGGCAGCCCTGGGTGGGAATTTGGTGGGCCTAATTATACGGGTTGTGAAAGAATGCACAAGTATCTCATGGCAGGTGCATGACACAGGGCTGCCACTTGTTGGTCGGCTTCCGTGGATTCTGTGAAGTGAAGGGATTCTTTGCTTTGGCTCAGCTCAATTCCCACCCCCCACTCCTCCTAGAAAGGGACTAGCCCTGCTTCCTCTGCTTCTACAAGGACCAGAAAAATCTGCTCCCTGCACCCACTGAGAGTTATATATTCTCATTCGCGTCTGTCTACAGGAGCAAAATAAATAGAAGCTTGGAGAAAATAAACATAAAAAGCGGGAAGGAGGTGGGTGCTGACTTGAACACTGATTTGCTTCTCGGCAAGAGGCCCATTTGGAGACAAAATCGTCACCCTGCACTTTCCTCACCGACCCTGAACTCACAAACAGCCCCTTGGCTGGGGTCCTAATGAGCTTCTGACGAGCACAGCCCGCCCTTTCGACACAGAAAATACAATTAGACATGCACAAGTGGCCTCTGAAATACCAGGCCGGGCACTGGGCACTTGAGCTCTCTGAGAATTCCACCCCGGGCTTTCTCGGGAAAACATTGCTTGGGCTCGTTAGGGGTGATAATGGCTAATAACACAGAGAGAACATTGTGTTTTGCTCTCAAGTCCTTGGCCAATACCAGACCACCATGGCAGCAAGAGAAGAGTGAGCCTGTGAGTGTGTGTTGCTGTTTCAGAGGGAAGACACCGGAGTAAAACACATTTGTGTTAAGATCAAGGTCCCACCTCCAAGCAGCCTGTGACATTGGGAAAGTTACCAACTCCTTGAACCTCAGTCTTGGCACCTGTAAAATGAGGACAATAATAGAAACCTCCCTCCCTCTGACGTGGTGATTAAATGAGATATTGCAGGTAAAGCACTTGGCCCCATGCCTGGAGCCTAGTTAGGACTCATTCAACATTGACTATTATTAAAAGAACACGCTTTATGTGTTTTAGTCTATTTAAGAAACAATTTTCAAGTGTGTGTTTGTCAATGCCCATGCAGGAGCTGACTGTGAACCCGCAAAGCACAGTCTTTGCCCTCGAAGCGCTTGAGAACAGCTAGGATGCCGAGAGAACCATTCTGGGCCAGGTCGGTCTGATGCTGGAGTGTTTGGTACAAACCAGGTGGCAGCTGTGGCTCACTTGCCCGTGTTTATGCTCCTTCTAATTTTTGCTCCTTTCTTTCCTTAGGTGGTGGAGGATGGGCTGGCTGTTTTTGAGGGCTAGAGACAGCAGGGGATGGGTCGTTGGTTCATTTAAGGCTGTAATAAAGAAGTGAAACCTGCTGCGTTTGCTTGTTATCTCTTCAAAGCCCACTCTTTTCTAGTTGTGATGATGGAATCCCACGTCACATGAACTTAAGCAAATTTAGCGTGTCACGTAATTGGAGAGAACAAAGATGGGTCTCACCAGTTTCAGTCATAGCTGGATCCAGGTGCTCAAAAAAGTCTCCTCTCTCCTTTTCTTCTTCCTTTTCTGGTAAGCCCTTAGCTCATGACTCAGATTAAGAGAGAGCTTCTCTCTCTCTCCCAGAATCCACATACTGAATTTTTGGGGGCGATTCTGGTGGTCTTGCTTGGTCACTTGCCCTGTCATTGGACCAATAACCCCTGGGCAGAGAAATGGGGCACCACAGTTAGCCAGACCAGGTCCCATGCTCACTCTTGCAGCCAGAGGATGATGGTGTGGCCAGCAGCCCCACAGAACGCACCTGGGACAGATAAGGATGTGCGGCAGACAAAACTGCCTACATCAGTGACACTCTGTGGGTAGGAAGTGTGAATAGACTCCAAGCACTCGGGAAGAGCAGCTGATGTAGACTTTACATTGGCCTTTCACCCGATTGTGTTTAAAATGGCTGGTCTGGCGTGCTTCTGAAGAATCAGCCCACTTCCTTGCATTCAAAAGTTGAGAGGTTTCTAACTATTCTTGAGTCAAACTAGGTGAGTGAGGACTGTGTTCCCAAGTAGGGCCAAACATAGAGCACTGTGGCAGCTTTTCCAAGGCAGTATCCACTGAGCCTTGTCCCTTGACTGATTTTAAATCCTGGTGGAGTCCCCTCCCATCGAGTAGAACTGACCTGGGAACCAGTAAGATATTGTGGAAATGAGTCCAAGGCTAGATCATAAAAGACATGGCTGCTTTGGCCCTGATTCCCTTGGATCGCTCTCTAGAGAAGTCAGCTCTATGGATGAGTCCACATGGCAAGAAACTGAGGACGCTCACCAGCAGCCAACACCAACTAGCCAGACAGTTGGGTGAGCCACCGTGGAAGTGGCTCCTCCAGCCCCAGTCGAGCCTTCAGATGATGTAGCCCTGGCTGACACCCTGACTGCAGCCTCATGAGAGACCCCGAGCCAGAACCACCCAGCTGAGCCTCTCCTGAATTCCTGACCCATAGAGACTCCATGAGATGATAACTGTTCATTGCTGTCTTGAACCACTAAGTTTTGGGGTAATTTGTTACACAGCAGAGCATAACTGATACAGGCATGTTAAGATATCCTCACTTCACAGGGACAGAGTCATTTAGACAGTTTCCTTATATCACTTTCAAAGCACTTCTCAATGACCCTATTAGCGATTGCTACAAAATTGAAATTTCACAAGTGGAACTGTGCTGATATTACAGGGCTTCTCTGTCTCAACACTGTGCATTTGTGGATTTAAAAAATCAGGTTTACACTTGTGCTCCCCCCTCCTGTAACTAGATAGGGAAGGAGTCGAGATCTGAACAGGAAGGATGACTTCAAAGATTTACCAGTTGCCTTCCGCGTTGTTAAGAACAGTCGTGGCACATGCCCTGGTGATCACAGAGCAATTGCGCAATTCTGCAAGAGTCCCTGGATTTGGAACCCCAACGGAGTCCTCCCAGGGGGCTTCTGGCTGCAGCATCACCTGTCCTGGCAGGCAAGATAGAATTCAAGGAAGCCTGATTGTGGGCTGTTTGAATCAAGGGAGTAGAATCAAGGGAGGTGGATCAAAAGGTAGATCCTGAGCAGGCTCCTCAAATGACCCACTCCACCATGATGACTTAAGTATCTCCGGACCCTGCACCCAGTCGCTCAGCGTGGCTCTCCAAGCCTGGTCACTTGCCCTGCTTTCCAAAGGAGTTTCCCCCACTGTCCTACAAGCCCTCAATCACTTAGGTGCCAACGCCCGGGCCCCACCCACAGAGAACCTTGCATGGGGTTCATTTCTGATCCTGTCCAGTCACTTGTGTGCCCATTTGCTCCCCCTGGTGATCCAGACATTACCATTCATCATGGGCTCTTCTGGGAAACTTTCCAAAAGCCTCCATTTCCCTCTCCCCCATCGCTGAACCCCAGTAACTGAGAAATGCCACACAATTTAGTGTTTCACTAGAGTACAAACTAGAACTCTACAAGTCAAAGGAACACCAACTCACACAGGCTCACGCGACCCCCTGGCTCTGGGCTCAAGCAACTCCTTTGGCTCTGGTTTCCTCGGAGTGTCCCCCAGCAGCCCTTTGAGGCAGGACTGTCCCCCAGGGCCACGTGGGCGATGAGAGGCACTTTCCCAAAGGACATAGAGCTGCTGGGAACTCATTTGAAAACCAGCAAGTCCACTAACTCAGCACACCCTTGATATTCACCCCCATGTCAGGTCTCATTCTGCCTGTCCTGGGGGATGCTTTGGCTCCTCAAGATCAGGCTCTGTTTCTTCTGCTCCTCATAGTAGAGAGTAACTAAAAAGGAACCCTTCTTCCTGTCTCTGCTTGCATACTTTCTGTGACAGGGAGCTCATCACTTCCAGAAGTAATTCCCTTTATGGAATTTGTCTCCTCTCCGTGACTGCCACCCACTGGGTCAGTTTGCCTAATATGAAAAAACATTAATCACCAATCACCATGTTTCCTCCTCCTTCCCTTCTTTCCCTTTGCGCATAAGTCACCAGCAGATGGACTGGATACAGGGGCACTGTCCAGGGGAGATGCTGTTGTCTGTCCTCCTTGCATGGTGCAGAGTTTCTTCACCCTGAAGCAGGCACAGCTGCCTCTGGGGAAAATCCTGTCATTTCATTTTCCCT